CGTGAATCACTGATCACGATTGTGAATGTGAATGTGAATGTGAATGTGAATGGGAATGTGAATGGGAATGTGAATGGGAATGTGAATGGGAACGTTGCCCTATGTCTCGGCAGCAGACACTGAGAGGAGCCGTGGCGATAGCTGTAGGTACGCGCACGATATGTCCACGCCCTCGCGATGTATCGCTCATTCTCACAACTCTTCTGCTGACTGTGACTCCAGCAGCAGACACGGCACGGCACGGCACAGCAGGCTGTGGCGCGCCTGCAAGCCGCGCCGCGTGGGAGAAGATGGATGATGTTCACGATTTCGCTCATTCATTCGTGATTTCGCGCTTTCAGCTTTCAGAAGACCAACACCGCACCCTAAACGCAACCAGCAGGCAAGTCAAAGCGACGAACGCGCTTGCAGCTTCAAATCTTGACAGGTCATCTGCTCTCATCTCGGCATGTTCAAAGCGTCATCATCAACGCAAAGCCTGTGCACAGCTTCGACTACATGCCGCGCTGCAGCATCCAGAAGTGCAAGACCTACTCTTGCCATCATCTGCCAATCCGGTCACAGCTCCATATGCAACTCGAGATCGGATCAGCGATGCCTTCATATGAGCTGCGTTTGGCGGCTTGACGAGAAGGAGGACAAGAGTCGCTTTGAGCAGTTCAGATCTAGATCTGCCGGCAGAGAGACGAGTGCATCCGAGGCAAATTCTTCGAGAACAGCATTTGAACAGCGAACAATTCTGGATCAGCTGCGTAGCGCACAGAGCGCGAGCGGCAGCAGCAATGGCAACGGCAATGGCAGTACTCCTAAGGTTCAAGGCAAAAGCGTATCGATAGGACGCATACGCCCATCCTCTCGATTCGCTGATCCTCGTGCAGCATCTGATCGCAGTGCTGCAGGATCTGCGACTTCTGCTTTGCCTGGTGGAGGATTGGGATTGGGCGTGATGAGGAATCCTTTGGGTATGGGCACCTCCGCTGACACGGGCACCTGGGATCGTCTGGCAGGCGGTGGAAAGGAATGGTCTGAATTGAAAGGTCGCGAGAAAGGTGAGCCCAGCTGCACTCGCTCTGTCCATCTGCGAAGGGCAACGCGGCGGGGTGGATGCGCGTT